ACTTAGGCTTTTAGTTGAGATGGAGCACATGCTTCAATTGATGGATTGTAGACCTATGTTTGATGATAGACATCGGGGTGTTTTTCCCCAAGTGACTTTAAATTAAGTAATTTAATTGTTAGTTGATTTAATGATTTAGTTCCATTCTTAGCCCGTGCAATCACAGCGGAGAGGTGATTGTGGCGGTGACATTCCCACTAGTTTATTATTTAAGTTTTTTATCCGCTGCTTAGTTTATCTTGATTTTGGTATTAGAACCGTAATTAGGTATAAGAAAAGTGGGGTGTTGTAGGTATGCTCTCTCAGCCAAGACCTACATTGCCTGCTTTGGAAGTTCCACCTCAACCAAACTTGGAAGCTATGATGAACATGTTGCTCAAATCTCCATTGCAAAGTGAGGAGAGATTCAAACAAGTGACAGAGATGTTGGATCATCTGAGTGCTCATAATAAGATGCTAGAAAATCAACTTGCAAATCAAGCCTAAACCTCTAGCACCAAGGTCATTAGGAAGTTGTTGGCTTGCCCCGGGAATCCAAGAGAACATGTCAATGCCATTGTAACAAGGAGTGTGAAGATACTTGGAGAACCATTTCTTCCAATTGACACATCCAATTCAAGTAAAATTGTTGATGTGGAGGTTGAACAGAAACTTGATGAGGAAGAAGTTGAACCAGCTGCTTTGACGCCAAGCCAAAAAGACCATGATGAGATCGAGAAGCCCAGAGGAGGTATGTACCACCATTGCCATTCCCTCAAATATATCAAAATCAAGCCAAGGATAATAGGTGGAAATTTTTTTTGGATGTGGTAGAAAATTTGAATGTGTCAATTCCTTTGCTTGATTTGCTTTCTCAAGATCCTTCTTATGGAAATTTTTTTAGGGAAATTCTTGCTAAGAAGAGAAAATTTGGGGATCATGAGATGATTTCTATGTTACAAGAGTATCGGGCGATGAAGGAAAGAGTCTTAGTAAGCATAGAGATCTGGGGAGATTCACGATCCCTTGTGTTATTGGTAGTCGTACGATCAAAATATCACTTTGTGACTTAGGAGCCAGTGTTAATGTCATGCTTATATCTCTTTGTCAAAAGCTGAATTTGGGAAATCCACAGCCGGTCCAACTTACTTTGCAGTTGGCGGACCAATCTACAAGGAACCCTATTGGAATTCTTGAAGATGTCCTAGTCCGTGTGGATAAGTATTTTGTGCCTTATAATTTTATTGTGATAGATGTTAAAGAGGATCCCGATGTTCCAATCATCTTGGGGAGACCTTTTTTTGCCACAATTGGAGCTATAATTGATGCATGGAAGGGGTCAATAATTTTTTATTTTGGTGAAGAGAAAGTTGCATTCAATGTTCTTGATGAGCAAAAATCTCATGGGGTTGGAAAGTGTTGTATGATTAATAGAAAGTCTTTTGATGAGGATGAACATCTTGATCCCCGTTTTGAGATGACATATGATGGGCATGAAAGGTGGAAAATTTTCTTTAGTGATAGACATGTGGAAAAGGATCTTATGGTGGAGAATCTTGCTCACAAATCTGACATTCTATTTGGGAAGAAGGCACATATTATGCAAACCAACATCAAAGATTGGGAGGTCATGAGGAAAGAGTACATTTTGTAATTCAAGACTTGTGCGAAGTTCATTGAGGCCACTGATGAAGATAACCTCGTGGATCATCTGGGGTGAGCACTCCAAAAGAGGTTACGTCGAGCTAGTGACGTTAAACTTAGCGCTTCATGGGAGGCACCCCATGTTATCTTTTATATTGCATTTTTATTTATTGCTTTCTACGATTTTCGTCTTATTTTAGTCTCTTATTTAGCATATTTTAGTTCGTGTTGTTTTATTGCTTTTTATCTTTCTCTTTTCTCTTGTTTTCCTTTTCTTTTGTTTTACATCAAGGACGATGTAAAGTTTTAAGTGTGGGGGAGGAGCCAAAAATTGGGGTACTTTTCAAAATTTTTGCTTGGATGACTCATGTTCTTTTTGTTAATAAGTTACTTGTCATAGCATGCAGTTACAATTATTCTCTCTTCTGGGTTTGTGGTTTGTTTTGGTGATACTTGTTGCAATTTAATTTGTGATTGATAATTTGAGGTGTAACACATGATTGATCTTTTCTGTTGCCAATAGCTTCTTTGTTAACCACTCATTAATTGGATTAATTCTTGATCTTGTGTGTTATATATGCACTGCTAGTGAAGGCTTATGTGAGATTCCGGTCATGGGTGTTTTGCTAGAACTTGCCTCATTATTCCCTAAGCGAAGTCTAAGTTTTGCATGTTTCGAAGTGATTTAGGCTGTTTTTGTTTAGCCCTTGGCCTTTAACCCTACCCTTATATATGGTATTATCCCTTGTGTCCCCTTTGAGCCTTTTGTTTGTTTAATAAGTGCGAAAAACTTACCCCTTCATTGTGATTATTTTTTTTATTTTTTTATTTTTGTTAACCCCCATCATGAAACCCTTAGCATATTAGCCAAAAATGTTTTCCTCCACCCTTGAGAGAATAGAACATTTGTTCTTTTTCATAGAAGAGTTTTTATTGGAGTTGTTTTGCTAGCAGTCCTCATGTTCGGGGCATGCGATTGGTCCCGTGGCGCCACCAATGTGTGCTTATGTGATAAGATATGAATTGAATGATGATATGAACGATGTGAAGTTAATCTGTGACCCTAGGATATATGCTAGTGTCTTTATATGCTTGATTATACCTGTTGAATATGCTTATCTCTATTTGTCGAGTCTATTCCTGGTTTTTAAAAGCTAGAGTCTCCTAAGTATATATCCTCTTACTTCAAAACGGTTTTCCTATATATATATATATATATATATATATATATATATATATATATATTGAAAAAGTGATGAAAAGGAATTTGAGAAAAGAAGAAAAAGAAGAATAAAGGCTTGAAGTCTGATTCCAGTTTGTGTTGAAAGTTATGCTCAAAATCCCACTTCTTTAGAGGGTTGCTGAGTGTCAAAATGTAATTTACTCCCTTGTTCAAAGTTGTCATGTCTCTTCTAGTCCAATTGTGAATAAGTATGAAATTCTCTCTTTTGTTTATTTATCCATACAACTTCTTTGTTAACCATTCATCCTTAGCCCAACTACAAGCTTAATAAAGACATATTTGATCTTAGCATGCATTCTTAGAGTTGAGCTAGTGGAGTATGAAGGCAAGTCTATGAGATCTCATTCAAAGTCGTGTTTTGCATAATCTCAACTTAGTATTTGTGCACACTTGATCCTTACACACTTTAATAATTTTGGTGCTTGGTTATTGGCTTGAGAATGAGTTTTATGTGCCAAACTGAGATGACTCTTGATGCATGTTGTCTTGTAGCAAGTTGGTGGGTGGTATGCTAGGTTGTGCAAGAGAGAGTATGAGTAATTTTTGTGCTTGACTTGTAATTTATTCAATGATTTTGCTTGAGGACAAGCAAAGGTTTAAGTGTGGGGAGTTTGATGTGAGCTTAATTGTACATGTTTCTCATGCTAATTTGAATATACTTTTGGGTGTTAAGTTCGTTGAATTGAATACTTTCAGTGCTTATTCCCTTGTTTTCAAATTAAGATATGGTTTATACTTGTTTTGAATGTTTTACGGTGTTTGTTAGTGTTTTGGAACCATTGTAGATCAAATGCAAAAGCAAGGGAAGTTCTAAGACAAGTTTGGAGCCAAAATGGACTGATTGGTGATGTTACAGAAGATTCGACACGTCGAAATAATCCAGTAACTGAGCTGGTCGATACCTCAATGTGTAGAAACATTCTAAAACCTTGCCTGAGAAGTCCAACCGAGGACTCAACGCGTCGAGATGTTTCAGCATACGGTCCGAAGAAACAACGCCTAACTCAACGCGTCAAGACGTTGAACTGGCTGGGCGAGAATCTAATCTGTTTTGCGCGAAAATTTTCTATTTTGCCCCCGCTTGGCTCCCGCTATAAAAGCCCATCTTCCCTCAACCCTAGGGCATCAAGATGCGTTTTGGAGGCAAGAAAAGAGGAGACCAAGAGCTACAAGTTGCCTTGGGAAGAAATAAGAAAAGCGAGGAAGATTTTGGAAAATCTCTTGGTCTATTATTTTACTCTCTTTGTTGCTTGTAAACTCTCTAGCTTACATTATTGTAATGAATTCTATATTAGCCATGAGTGGCTAAGTTATATTAGAGATTTTTGGGTAAAAGTGTTTATGAACCTATGTGCCTAGTACTCAAATTTCTTTAATAATATTCATATTTGGGTTTTATAACTATACTTGTGTTGCAATTGTGTTTTGCATTGTTAATGCTAGTAGCTAATGGCCATAATTACTCGTTTCATAGCTATCTTTATGTGTTCATGGGAGTTAGAGTATAATTAGGAGCGCACACAATTGCACTTAACTATTGCACGCACCTTGGTAGATGACATATTTGTTAAGGAGTTAATTCTTAATTATTGCACATCGGGAGATGGTATTAGTTAGGAATTTACATTGAATACTTGTTCTTACATTGTTGGGTGTTTATATCACGGGAGTGAATATTCACTTGTTTTGTTTTTGGATGGAGATTATAGAAGTAACTCTTTCCCTAGTTTGCATCCTCACACTTGTTTAAACTCATATTTAATATTGCACTTTAGATTGGCACTAGGTGATTAAACACTTGAATCCCAGGAATCTCACTTTGTCTCTATTGGTTTCACAAATCTACTATTCTGCTCTTTAGATTAGCTTTATAATTAATCAACCACCCATGATTTCGTTAAGATTAGCTTCAGAAGAATAAATTAATAACTAGTGCTTATACACCCCGCTTCCCTGTGGATCGGTAATCCAATACTCTAGGTAATTATTTGTTTGAGATAGATACTGTAACCAAATTTGGAAGCCAAGGATCCCTCCAAACATTAATTGATGAACCATCCCCAACTCTCCACCTATAGCAGCCTCTTAAGACAGATTGAGATTCCAGAATACTTCTCCAGATGAAGGAAGGGTTTCAACCAATTTTAGCCTCAAAGAAGTTGTCTCTAGGGAAATATCTAGCTTTAGAGACTTTTGTCATTAAAGAGTTTGGGTTTTGAATCATTCTCCATGCCTGATTCTCGAGGAGGGCAATATTGAAATCACGAATCCTCTTGGACCTCATGCCTCCCCAATTGTTAGGAACACACAACTCATCCCATCTTTTCCATCTAATACCCTTGCTTCTCTCCCCAAAACAGCCCCACCAAAATCCATTCAGAATTCTCTCAATCTCTCTCCCCAACACCATAGGCAATAGAAAAACACTCATAGCATAAGTTGGAATGGCCTAAAGAACATTTTTTATAAGGATTTTCCTTCCGGCCTTCGATAAGAATCTGCTGGTCCAACTCCTGATCCTACCTAGACTTTTCTCCTTAATAAAACCCAGCAAGATCACTTTCTTATTTCTTCCTATTAGAGATGGCAGCCCGAGATAATTGCCACTCAAGTTTCCTTCCCTAATCCCCAGCACCTCATGCACCATCTCTCTATCAGCCCCAAGAACATTCCTACTAAATGACACAGTTGATTTAGAATGATTTATAAATGGACCCGAGGCTTCAGCAAAACAATCAATGGTATTCTCCAACACTCCACTTTCACTTTGGGTGGGTCTGCAGAACAAGTAACAATCATTCGCAAAAAAACGAATTAGAAATGATTGGAGCCCCCCTAGCCACTGACACACCATGAATCCCCCTTTCAACAGATCTCTTATGGAACATACAATGAAAGGCTTCAAGCACCATGATAAAGAGATAGGGAGATATGGGATCACATTGTTTTAAACTCCTTTCAGGAACAACATATCCTACTTCCCTCCCATCAAGCAGAATTCTGAACTCAACAGTAAACACCAACTCCCGAATCAGATTGGTAATATGCCGAGAGAATCCCAATTTGGGAGGACAGCTAATAAGAACTCCATAGGCTTTACTCATGTCTAATTTGACCCCAACAAAACCAGTATTCCCTTGTCTCTTCCTTTTAAGGTAATGATTAATTTCATACGTAACCATCACATTATCGGTGATGAGTCTCCTCGGGACAAAGGCAGTTTGAGACTCGAAAATAAGACCACTCAGAAAGGGTTTGATACGATTAGCCAAGACTTTTGACACTAGCTTGTAGAGGATATTGCGAAGAGCGAATGTCCCCCATGTTTTCCGATTTGAATTTTTTAGGGATAAAGAACCAAGAGTGTGAGATTGATCCCTCCCAGCAACTTCCCAAAATTAAAACACTCAAAACAGAAATTCGACAATTCTGGACCTACAATGACCCAGAAGTGTTGGAAGGAAGCCGTTTTCAACGTTATTAATGTTGTACAATTGTTAACTTGTGGCTTATATGAAAATATCAACTTTAGTCATTTTATAAAATTCTAAAGTATATTTCTTCAAAAAAAAAAAAAACAAAAAAAAAACAAAAAGTTCTAAAGTATATTTCTTCTTCTTCAAAAAAAAAAAAATCTAGTATAAATTTCATAGGATAAGATCTCTGCTTCTCAAATTCTAATTTTACATTATATATTCAAAAAGATGAAAGCTAACCACTAAGTGGTGCACAAAAAACAACCTCTTTCTACTATTGCATACCTGCGCATTACAGAACATTCGAAGAGAAGAGAATATGGTTAAGTTGATTCATATGATCCAAACCCAGCCAAGAACTGAGCCTGCAACCAAACCCATCCCCAGAAAAACCGCCATGACAATGGCAGCTATCTCTGACTCCGAAAGGGGCACCGATTTCGGGGAGAGAATCATGAGCACGCTGGTCAAGTAGCCGTTGCTTATCCCCAGCGTCACAGTGAGCAGTACGATGGGCGTCTCGGTTTTCAACCACCTCGGCCCGTGGAGGCAGAGGCTAAACATGGGATAAAACAAAAGCCGCCCCACACAGCCCCACGTCGCCTTTCCGATGCCTTTCACGACGTGAATTCCGGTCATGGATTTCCCCAAGAAATCCGAGACGTTGTAAACCGTGATGAGCAGAATGGGGTACCAGTCTTTGAGCAACTCCGACTCTATGTTCTCCGCTAGGAATCCCGGGAAGATGGACAGAGTGACGGTGTAAATGGTGAAAATCCCAAACGCCGGCCACTTGATGGCCCTTGCCACGTTCCAGAATCTCGGCGCCGGGCTCGAATTCCGGCCGCCGTCGTCGTGGACCAGCTGCTGCATCACCGGCAACTTGTACAGCAGGTTGCAACACCCAATGCAACCCATCACTATCGCTGTGCTCACTATGAAATACAAGTGCGCGCTGGTTTTCAGCCCCTGTGCCGTTTGCGGAAGCGACGCTTTCGTTATGATTCTCAAAGAAGAAATTAAAACCCCTGTTTATTTTATTTTATTTTATTATATATACAAACAAATCATTAATCATTAATCATATATATTACACACACACACAAATATATATATATATATATATATATAGGAATAAGGGCCAAATAAGTCATCGAACTACACATCAAAATGCAATTAGGCCATCCAACTCAAAAAAGCTACAATCAGGTCCCTGAACAGCGCAAATTCAAACAAATGAACCCAAAGTAACTTGTTGATCAGGTAATTAGGTGAGGCGGAGGTTACCAATTTAATTTTTAAAAAAAAAAATTATTTTAATAATTCTTAAATAAAAAACTAATAAAAAAACCCACTGGCCACCCACAGAGCCTCTCTTCATCTCCGTCTAGTTCAGGTGATTCAAGAATCAAGATGACCACTGAAGTGCTAACATTGACAGCATTTTGATCTTGGCGGAATAAAAAGATTCTTTCATTTTTATCTCCTGAATGTTTTCATGTCTTCATACAAGCCCTTTTTAAATTTGAATTGGATACACATTCATATAGATAGAGAAAAGAAAACAGTAGAAGAAAATTGAAACCAGTCGGGATTGAGATTGAAATGGAAATTTTGGCAGATCAACCTGTCCATAATTCAACATGCCGACGCGAATTATCACGACGATCGGGGCTGAGTTCTTCCAAAGCAATGGATTTTTCTGGTTTAAAATTGCCATCTCCGATGGACTTTGTAACTTACATATAATCAGTAAAAGTGAAACCAAATCTCATATTGTTCCAGTCAATATTACCATATTCTTCAGAACTCTCGACACTACTACAACAAATTAAAACAGATCAAAAACTCGCGATCAAATCGAAAAACAACACGCCGGCAACCGGTCTTGATTCTAGAATCACCTGTAAATAAATAGATCGCAGAGTTGTTTTAAAGAAGATCTCTCTTCGTCTCCGATCGGAGACGAAGAAATGGTCCTCGTTTCCGTCCTGGAGACGAATAGCCAGTCTTCGACTCTTCGTCTCCGGTCTCGAAGGAGGTGGAAGGGGATAGCCGGCAGTTTGTTTTTTTCTTTTTTTTTTAAGAATTATTAAAATAATTTGTTTAAAAAAAAAATTGGTAACCGCCACGTCATCTAATTACCAGATCAATAGGTTACTTTGGATTTAATTGTTTGAATTTGTGTTGTTCAGAGATTTGATTGTAGTTTTTTTTGAGTTGGATGACCTAATTGTAATTTGATGTGTAGTTCGATGGCCTATTTGACCCTTGTTCCTTCAATATAACATAGCTATGTAATGCAACAATAAATCTCACCCACCAAAATGCACGAGTCAATAACAATTAAATCCAATTAAACACTTTTCTTTTTATTGAATATAATATGTACTGCACCAAAAATCTCACTTTATCAGACAAACAAGTCATAATGCACTGAGTCAATAGCAATTAAATCCAATCAATTAAAGAGTCTATGATGTGAAATTATACACTGGTCATCTCTTTCTATCTAATTTGTTCTCAACTTAAGACTCAATACATACTAGTGATTTTGTAATTTAGTGATTTATAGGATGGTAGGATTTTCGATAAAGAATCAATTTTGAAATATTATATTTAGAAAATGTCCATTATAATCTTAAAAGATTTACTTATACTTATATAACTTCCCTTATGGGAAAAACTAAGGAATAAATCATTAATTAAATAATATATTCTTGAATCATAGGAAATAACTAAGCTTTTCCTAAAAGGCTGACTCCCCTGATACTGGACCAAATGTTAGTGCCTACAAAAGATTTGTCTATTTTGAACATAATCCTTACAAGAGATTTGTTTATTTTGAATATAATTCTTACACTGTCGTCCTCAAGATTCAAATATTTATCTCTTTTCTTAAATACTATCTATTACTGAATTATTGAGCTAAATTCGTGTTGTCAGAAATAATTAAGCTGTGAGCAATGAGCATGCACTAACTCCCATTTGAATTGTCACTTTTGATGGTCAACATATAATTACTTTGATTACATAATTGTGTACTATATTAAAATAATGATTGTTGAATCAAATAATGTTTTAAAATATTGCTTAATTGCTTTTATATTGGATAAGATAGTATACCTGAAGAGGCGGTGCCAGCAAAAATTGCTTGCATGTACTGCTTAGGCAGTTTGCCGGCAGAGCCATAGAGGGTTCCTCCGATCAAGCCGTCGGCCAAACCGCAGATCACGACCGACGCAACCACGGCGGAGTAGGCCGCCGCGCATCTCCCCCGTTGCTGGTGGTTGGTTTTAAACCACCAGTCCAGGGCGGGAGTCATGATGAGAGACAGAACAAACATGGAAAACCCCAGGTTCATTCTCAGCCTGAAACAGAGCTTGGTGGTCGTCGGATTCCGCCGCCCCAATCCCAGCATCCCACCCAACACCGCCAGAGAAGAGCTCATGTACGCGACGGAGAACACCTTCTCGACGTGCCTCCCCGGGTAACAGTACCCGAAATAGTCCACGGCGGTGATGAGGGCATTCCACGGCAGCAGACTCCCGGCGCCCAGCAAGAAGTGGATTATGTATGCAACCTTGTAGGTGTCCGGCAGCGCCGCCGCCGCGGGCGTCGTCTCGTTGTCGCCTTTAACGCTCTCCATTTCTTTAAACTTTGTTGCGTCCATGTAATTACAAGGAAGTCGAGGTGTCATGACAGAAGCTTAAATAGAGCACAACTAACTAACCCATCAATTAAATGTTGCAAAAAATGTCTCCTGGAGTTAGTCTAGTTAGTTCGTCGCTTGCCATAAAGGTTATGATCAAAAACAGCAATGTGAGGGTTCAAGTCTCACTGTAAGCATGCATGGGAAAAAAGACCCAAAGATGTTGAAAGGTCTGTATTAGATCCTTGTACGTATGTGAAGACTAGGGTCTGACGGGTGGACTCTTTGTGGATTATTCTCGATTTACTTTTGCAGTGGCTCTAAGGGCGGGGTCTTGTACACTTAGGATTAGTTTAGTGAAGCTGAGATTGCCCTAAGTTAAAATAAAATTTAAAAAATAAAAATGTTGTAAAAATGAGGTTGAGTGTTAAGACCCCAGTTGGAATTGACGGGTGGAACATGAACCTTGTGTTGTTATTTCGTTTATTTAATTATTTTTGAAATGTATGTTAACGTTAAGCTGTTGAGATTCCAGTGATAATATGTGGAGGTGATGACAGAGACTGCTAAGGTTGAATTTTGGAATAAAAATTGGCATATTGATCCTGATCAAGCAAAAAAAATTGTACCCTTTTCTTGTGGGACGAAAAATGGATGGATGGTATTCTGGTGCACATGCTAGGAATGTTGCTTTGCGCCGAGTCATGCGGAATATTTGTGTTGTGAATGGATTATATGAAACCAGGAGTCAATCAACTACCTTTATTTTTCCCTCTTTTTTCTTCTCACTTTAATTTTCTTGTACTTATCTTCCTCACCACCTTTAACTTGTCATAATAACCTTATAATGTACACTCATTTGACTCATCGCTCCATCCAATAGTTAAACGTCTCTTGGTTATTGAGTAATAATTATACTTGGAATGATAGATTGAATGATATAGAGAAAATTAATATGATTTCTGTGCATGACATA